CTCACCCCACCATCAAACTGAGCCAGGTATGTCCCGGTTACTATAGCATCAGTGCCAGAGAACTCCTGCTCTCAGGCTGGGGTCAAGTATTCCCAAGTGACCTTATTGTACCCTGAGCGCAGAGGCTAACTCGGGATTACAGTCTACAGTCGCTGCCCAGTCTGTAGAGTCAACTGTCAGCAGGCACTCCAAGCCTATTCTGGCCACACCTAAGGCTGCTATGCATAGCTTCATAATCTGCAGCTGACAGCAGGGAGTTTTTGTGGTTGATCCATGACAAAAGTTATTATTGTATACGTTTTAAAGAAAAAGAAAACCTTTTTCATTTGCAAATAAATCACTTGGATATATTTCTAAGCTTATTAAGCAATTAACTCCCAATACTAATATTTCCCAAAGAATATTGCAAAATGTTATCAGATAGAGTTTCGATGAGAGACTTTGGCATCAGATCTACATGGTTCAGGTCCTTGTCTACACCTCAAATATACACGGGTGTGAGATTTGTTAAAATAATGCTAATAATGCTTTTCGAACATCGTGAGCGCTCAGAAGAGGTAGCTCTATTACACAATTGCTTCAATTTCATCTGTGAAGGGACTTTATATTATAAAGTCAGTATTTTTGTGAGGCTTTAAAGATCTACAGATACCATTCTTTCCAGAAAGTTGGGAGGCCTAATTAACATCCTCTTAAAAATCAAAAGCATGGCGAGTTGGATACTTGCTTGACTGTGATCCTCACCTAAATTTCAATCAAAATGATTTAAGCTCCAATAATACTGTAGACATAAAAACTACTAAGGAAAGACATAAAATGTGTAGATAAGCCCTGACTAAGCGATTCAGTCCTCCTTGTTACTGTATAATAATAACATTGCTAATCTTTATGAGACATATCTTTAAAAGCTGTGGGTGTTGCCCACAATCCTGAACATCCATCATGTTGATTTTGGGCAGAGGAGTGAAATATGATGACGGAAGGCATTTATTCAGGTGGCTATTCTTAAGGGGTCTAGTCTTTGAATTCTTAGGCAATTAGTTGCTTGGGCCCTTTTCTCTGAGTTGTACATTCATTGATTGGATAATTAACAGACATTAAGAGCTGAATTTGGAAAATATGCTTCTGCCTGTGCTACTGAATAGGGCTGTGATAAAGGTTGGAACAGAAATGTGGACTCATCCAGATTCGCAGTGCCAGACTCTGACACATTAAATTTCAACACTTCCAGTTCATCTTGGCAGATGCTAGTGTCCTGATGTCATGCAGCCATGATGTAAGGCACAAAGAGTGGCGTTTTGCAATAGAGAGATTCTGGGAAACCTCCCCATGAGTGTGAGCTGCAGGATATCAATATTTATACTACACCACAGAGAGTGTGCTACATTTTTGTAATTCACAGAAGTTAGAGAGCTTATTCATGATCTCCTGCAGAGAGGGATTGTTTTTATGTTCAGCACCAAAACCTTAAATTGCTGGTGTTTGCCTTGTGATTTTCTGAAGACTTTTTTTTTTTCAGTGACGTACAGTGAATAACAATCTTCCATAAAGGACATTTCAAAATGAAAGGATTCAATTTGCATTGTTCCAGGAAACACTAAAAGATAAACTATGTTATAATTTTATTGACTTCAAACATTATAAAAACGTAATTATTTAAAAAAACTAATTTGGGGAAAGAAGACACAATAATAAGCAACTTTAATTTCCTTTTTATAAATTTCTGGCTCAAGTATGAGTGAAATTATGGTGTTTGCTCCCACTCCCATTATTATCATCCTAATTAACTAGTTAATATTAGTAACAGGAAGAGAGCAAAGGGAAGGCCAGACACTATAAGCATGGTCATTTGGGCAACTTCACCAGGAAGCTACAGCTCCACAATCCCCAGGGAATCCCTGATCCATTTCCTGCAGATCACTAGCGGAAGGGATCTAACAAAGGGAAAGAGGGGCGCATGTGCAGTAAAATTGGGGTGATGCAGGGAACGTGCTTGTCTGTTAGTCTGGCCTGGGGAACAATAAATTAGGTAGGGGATGAACCCTATCAGAAGTGCACGAAATCTAAGCTCCTGCTTAAAATCCCCAAAGAGGCCTTTCTCTCTTGTGCCCTTGTTAGCGCTTATTCTCACTTGTTCCCTGGCTCCATGACCCACACTCGCCTGTTCTCTCTCCATAGCCAGTTGGCCTTAAGCCGCCACCTGGCCCATGGCCATGGGACCAGCCGATGGATCATAGCTGAGAACACAAGTTAAACTACACAGATGCTGGACTGGATTGGGCTTTAAGATGGAACAGAAATTCTGGGCAGTGGCCTTAATTCTGGCCCTCCTGAAAACAAGATTGGGCTTCTTCATGGCGAGAGAGACAGAGATGAAAACTTGGAGAAGACCCCCTTAATTTTACATCATCAATAAAGCTTTCCACCAAGCCCCATCCTCTCATGGGGGCCTCAGGAAATTGTTTTCCTTATGGCACCCAAGAACTCCACTTCTACCGATAACCCCATCATGCTTCAAAATGCTGTCATGACTATTGAAGTCCTAGCATGTGTTCTCAAAGAATTGAAGGACGGACACAGGAAGAAGACAAAATGGGAATGAAAGACACTGATGAACCCCTGGGCATGTTTCATTTAGTAAAAATATTCCAGAACATATTCCCATTTCTTTCCTAAATGAGCCACCCACCTAATGATCCATAGATTGCTAGTTCTGCAAGGGATTCACTAGCAGACATCTTTCAGGGCCTCATTGCACCTGGGGGGATAGGGGGGGAGAGTAAAATATTTGCAGAACATCTTATATTTCTTCCCTTATTTTTTTTCATTTAAATCCTGTTTACACACATAAATATTGGTTCCATAGGAATGAAAGAGGTTCCTTCCTGCAAATTTAACTCTTAGAGTTATGGGATCATAAGATCATGTGTAGGACAGACCATAAACATGTGGCTTCTTAAGCGCCATTTTCTAGCTTTCTATGGTCTCACCAGGTGGATTTTATACTGGTAAGCATACTGTTCCACAGGTGAAAAATTGGAATCCTATTGTTTTTTTCTTGTTTGTTTGTTTTGATGTATTTTTCAGTTCAGCAACCTGGACATTTTAATTTTGTCTGATGTGTAATTTTAATTATATTGTGTTTGTAATTTAGAAATATTTATAGACAGCAAATATGTATAACTTTTTAGGTTATAACCTCTCCAGACTCGAGCATTAATTCCTCTCTCATCAGGAGGCAGTCCTTAATTAAGCTTTATTGTTTCTTCCTGGACTCTCCCAGCTTTTTAACACCTTTTTGAAATGCTCAAGGAGAGCATAGCTTTCTAGGTGTGGTCACTGGGAGGAACCTTCACCTCCCCACTTCTTGGTATGAGGTAACCTTTACATACTTTGTGAGGACAATCAGAAAGTGCTGACACGCAACTCATCTGCCTTAAATTCCTTATGAAGGCAAAACAAAGCAAGTGAAATACCTTCTACTTAAAGGAAAGCAGAATGTAAAGTTTTAATAGTGAATGGAAAGTCATAACAATATAAGAGAAAGGCTTGTTACTAGGCAATCATGGTAAGAATATGCATGATTGATCCTCTTTTAGCCCAGCTCAAGATCAAAATGGTTTTGCTAATCAAAATTACAATGGGAAAAAGTCAAGAGTTATAGATTGAATCTAAAAGAAAAGTTATAGACATTATTTTTAAATTATATGTTTTGCTTCATTTAAAAACAAATTTTTAAAATACTATTATACAAAATAAACACTAAAATATACATCTCAGATGATAGACAGCGGTGTGTTTTGGATTTGAGGTACAGTTGAGAATATCCCAATTTTTCAGTTATGGAAAAAAAATTGCTTTTTCTTCCTTGGTCAAATTTTAGAGCTTGAAGGGCCCCGTAAAAAATGAAATTAAAGCCCAAGGATATCAGTGGTCCTGCCCAAGATTATTCTAATTACATGGAAAAAAAAATATGCTTAAAGAGGAAGGACCCTAATTCCCAAATAGTTATTTCTAGAATAACTATTGCATTTCCTCACTCTATGTGCAAATATGCTATCAAGTACTTAGAAGTGGTTAATAAATTTCCCACATGCTTTTGGCTGGTGAAAAAAATCCTGTGTCCAATTATTTAGTTTTTCTTTCAGGATCAGTTGTAGAATTTCATGTATTAGTAGAATTCTAGAATTTCAGTCCAAATGAATAGTCACCACGAAATTCCACTAACAACAGGAGGAAGTGCTACACATAAGCATTAGGATACCAGTGAATCCAACACAACATTTTATAATCCATGCAGAAAAAGAAATGTTTTGCCTGCTCAAGGCTTGATATCCAGTAGCTTCCAGTCATCAGAAACTCTTTAGCTTATTCCATATTTCACAGATAAAGACTCCACAATGTTGTCACAAGCTGGGGATAATGTATTTTGCCTTGGACCTTCCATTTTTCTTGTCTCTGGCTTGGCCTCCAGGCATTGTTTGGTTCATTGATGGTGCCACAGCACTGATCTTATCCTAATAGCCGACATCACATTCTTTTAGACACTGTGAAAGTAGCATGTTTTGGATTAGGTCCACGGAGCAGTGGTCTAAAATACTGGTAACTAGTACACGAAGAGCCCAAGCTTGGCATTGCTTTGACTTGTTGCAAAGTTGATAATTCTTCCCATGAAAACTCACATCTGACACAGTCAGAAGCATGGCACTCAGTCTCTCTGCAGTAAGAAGAATAACCACAGAACAACAGCAACAGACCCAGAGTAGTACTATGAACTTGACTTCTGTCACTATAAGCTTTTTCCATTGGCTCTCTTGGTGTCCTAACAGTGACAAAGTCCAGTTATTTCTGTTGAAATGTATTCCCTCATTTCATCATGATCCCACCTTCCATCACGTTCAAGTCTAGTCAGCGGGGAAGTTTTGTTGTTTCATTTGAAGATGTCAATTTGGGGTCCACTGATTTTTAAAAATGCCTCATGAGATTTTCTTACAAAGGACTCACAGTGGTTTTCCTCTGGAACAGACCTTATAAGGTGATTTCAGTTTTAGACACCTAAAACAAAGTATTGATTTCCATAAGAATTTAAATGCTGTTTGTATACCTTATTGTAGATTATATAAATGTGCTGGGGTAGCAGTTGTTGCTGGTCCCTTTTACCCATTGGGAGATCCATGCCCAGCTGCTATGGGCGTTAACAGACCCAGAACAGTATCCTTCTCTAGAGGATTCCCTGGGCCCATGGAGAACTTTGCCTGAATTCCTGGGAGACTCCTGGTCTGTGCCCACTACACTGCCAGGAGCATCCTGACACCCTTGCTGAGGACACAGGGTACTAAAACCAAGATCCCTCATCTTCTTGGAATAGGTTTATAATGCCATTCACATTTGAGATCACCCTGGGGAGTCAGGCTGAGACTCAACTTTAGCTAATAACACATCTTTGCTTACCTTCCTCCTCTGCTCTAGCTTTCCTTACTTCCTCATAGGTCCTACTTTAGGGCATCCCTTGACTAATCACTTGCACAGGAATCCCCATTTTGTGTTCTGCTTCCAGGGAACTTGACCTCAGACAACAGTCCTATTAACATTAAAATATCTACTTCCTTTGCCCCCACTTTTTGGTTCCTTAGGCAATTGACATATAATATCAATTGATATAACATTTTATATGAATTGTTCTATAATTGATATAACATTATATTCTCTCTAAGATGCAATTGTTGAGCAACCAAAATTTTTTCTTATTTTGATAGTCAGTTTTGATCACTTTTAAAATGAAAACTTAGTTAATAGAGTATGCCAGGGAAATGTGTTTATACTTTTTTCTTTAATTTAACTCACATCATTTCTTGAGTTTCCCTAGCTACATGGATTTAAGGGGGAAAAAATTACCAGTGTGGATACACCTGAAATAAGAATTAATATACAAGTAACTTATATTTAGTGGATCTAGCTTATCTTCTTAAACTTCTAGCAGTAGATAATATCTTCTGAATATACCTTTAATTGATTGTTTGGAAGTAAATGGCCCATGTTTGCCACACTTTTTATTTATTTAATATTCATTTCTTGATTTCTTCATTCAACAAATATATACAGTGTCTATTGTACCAGGCACAGTATTTGGCACTGAATATATAATTTTGAACAAGACACACTTTTCACTACTCTTGTGGAGCTTACTGGCCTCTTCATTTGTAACTTTGATGTAGGCAGACAGAGGACGGAGGGAAATTAAAGCTATCCTATTGCAACTGCAGGTAAATTTTTACTGCTAATCTGAATTTATGAGAAAACATATCAAAACGAATATGTAGGAACTTGCCAGATTTGCAGCCATATTTTCACTAAAAACCTTAACCTGGTACATTGTAGGGGCTCAATAAATATTGTTCAAATGAACGAGTACCCAGTGACTTCATATTTTGTGGGGTTTTTTCATACCTCTTTCTTATGTAGCAGTAAAAAATAGCAAGAAAGCCACTTAATAATACTCCGACGCCAATCCAAATTGCAATGTATTTTTCATAAGAATTTACAGCATATGAAGTTAAGGTCAAATGCTCACACCTTTCTCCAGTATAACCAGTAAAACACCTTTACAAAAAGAAAAGAATGAATAAATTTAAGATTCACAATGACAGAAATACAAAGAAAAGATCAGTTTCAAAGAATAAAGATGCAAATACCAAATGAAAGCCAATCTATTACAGGTATTGAAAAAGCTACGTATTTTACAATAATCATTTCATTAAGACCTCATATCAATGTACCTTTCCTCATTGGTGAAGTGAAGATAGTATGTGTGCTTTATGCCTTGATCTAGAAAATTTACTCTTCTATAAGAAGATGCTGAGCAAATCAATGATCATCAAAATAGTATTTTAGTTGCTCTAGAACTCTATTCTCCAAGTGTTTTTACCATATCCTATTTCATTTCATCCTAATTACATTTGCATGATATTAAAATGCTGATATGGATTCAGTAGTTTTGAGGTGGAGCATAGGTTTCATCATTCTTAATAAGCTCCCAGGCTCACAGATGCTGCTAATCTGGGAACCATATTTTTGAGAAATGAGGATTAGGTAGTTTAGAGAAAGACTCCTCAGATATTCAACTACAAAGAGGATTGGTGAGTCACGATCAGATCATGAACCCTTTTAGCTCCATAAAATAGAGGTGTGTGGAAATGTACTGTGTGAAATACCAGAGGCATAAATTCCCCTTCTCCTGCCTCTAGGACTTGGGCAGTTCTTTGCAAATTACCTGCAGATGGCTTTCTTCAACTCACGGTGGAAGGCACACACACCATGGATGCAGTAACTATCGTGGTATTCCAGGCAAGGATGTGAGAACTTCAAGACTATGGGTCCTTCTGTGCCATTATAGGAAAAAGGAGAAATAATATTAACAGATGAAGTAGGTCACATTTTTATAGTAGTTTTATAACATGTTAAAGAGACCTTTAATTTTGATATTCCATGGGTGCTCTGTCCACTGAACTATTGATTGGTTCCCTTGGCAGGTTAACAAAGCTTAGTTAATATCACTTAGGCATACAATTAATTAATCAGGGGATGGGGGTAAATTTCATTCTTTAGAAGCATCGCAGTACAGGATAGATACAAGTTTGCCAAAAGGTGGCAGCATCAACTCTAGTTTTAGAGACTTTCTAGAGCAGGGCTTCTGAAATGTATGCCTGAATGCTATTAAGTATAAAAGAGTTCACACAATTTTTTTACTCTCTCCTTTAAACCTAAGAAGGCAGTGCTTAAAAAGATTTGGGTTTATAATTGTGAGACAATGAACTTGATTACTCTTTTCTCAGAGAAGCATGAGATGAGAACTCTCTCTTATTCGGACTGCCATGTGTGGCTAATTGAAAAGAGAATATTTTCTCCAACAGATTTCAGAAGAGGGATGGTTATGACCTATACAAGAAGCCAGAAACAACTTATGGCCTGGGCTTAACATAGTTAAGACAATACTTTCAAATATCATTTAGAAATTTTATTCACTTAAGAGACGTTACAAAATAGTGGGAAAAGCCTTGGAGTTGGAACTTAAAAACCTGGGTTTTGATTTCTAATGCTTATACTGTGCAAGTGACCATGCTTGATAGAACTTTTGTGGCCAAGTGTCCAGAATCTTCTTTATGGGAAGCCCCCTGAGGGAAGCTGCAATATGGCAAAATGTATTTCCTTCAGGATGCTTACTCTTCATTCCCTGATGTACCCAGGACTTACGTATATAATCCCTGGGGTTTCTGAAGTGGAAAGCACAGTGATAAAACTGTATAACTGAGTCCTTTTTGCTATACTTTCATTGCTGATTCTTTGATTTTTCTCAAGTAGATTTAGTGGTTTTTTATTTTGTCATCATTATGAATAAGTATGTCATGAATATCTCCTCATCCTTAGTTATGTTGCACAGTATTTGTCTTGTTTTGTAAGCAGATTAAGACACTCCTATTTATTTGTTCAGATCTAAAAAGGTAGACTTTTTTTTTTATAATGAAAATACTAAATACTAAGACACCAACAAGATCCCATGTGGTAGAACTTCCGTTTGGTTGAGAACACATAATATTATCTTATAATGCACATTCATGTGAAGTCATTAATCTATTTTCTCATTTTAATAATTCTGAAGCAGTGAGAATTTTGCATTATAAACTGAGCTAGGTTCTTCCTACTTCAAGACTAAAGCCTGAATCAAGATTTCCTAGAAAATGTGAGACCTGAAAGAAGACATTTTCAAAGAAAGGGAATACTATAGAGATTCTTCTTTCATATAAATATCTGGATTCAGGATAAATAAAAAGCAAGGAAAAACTAAAGTTCTCTATCAAGAAGGCAAGGGAAAATGATAGAGATATATTCAATCACTATGTTTTTCATTGTTATTACCTGTAACTTGGAGAATTTTACTTGCACTTCCCTATTAAGAAAGAAAAAAGTGGTCTGGGCATAATGTTATGGTCTCAGTCATAGAGAGAAGCCATATTTTAATTTTCTGCAGTATTATTTTCTACTAAACAGATTTCTTTCCCTTTTTGTTCAAAAGCTTAGAAGATAGGAAGACATAAAAGTCATTCTAAACCCTATACTTATTTTGGTTTTCAGATTAATATATATTTAAAAATTCAAATAGGCCTGGATCAAATTGGCTCAGTGGATGGATTCTTGGCCTGCAGACTGAAGGGTCCCAGGTTCGATTCCAGTCAAGGGCATGTACCTTGGTTGAGAACACATCCCAAGTTGGGGAGGGAGGTGCAGGAGGCAGCAGATCAATATTTCTCTCTTATTGATGTTTCTAACTCTCTACCCCTCTCCTTCCTCTCTGTAAAAAAAATCAATAAAATATATATTTTTTAAAAGTTCAAATGGGTGGGAGCTGGGTGGAGAGAGTTACTAGTAATGGGGGTGGTGGGAGGGGAAAGGGAATCATTTGTAATGCTTTCAACAATAAAGATAAACTTTTAAAAACTCAAATGGGCAAACATATTTCAAATACATTTTTAAATTTAAAATTATTGGTGAAATGATTTTTTAAAATATATTTTATTGGTTTTTTTGAGAGGAAGGGAGAGGGAGAGAGAGTTAGAAACATCAATGAGAGAGAAACATTGATCAGCTGCTTCCTGCACCCTCTCCCCCACTGGGGAGGTGCTCACAACCAAGGTACATGCTCTTGACCAGAATCGAACCTGGGACTCTTGAGTCCGCAGGCTGATGCTCTATCCACTTAGCCAAACCAGTTAGAGCAGTGAAATGAATTCTTAATTATTACTACCTCATATTCAGAAACAAAATATTTGGCTTAATCTTTTTTATTTGCCTGGCTCTGAGAGCATGATATGGCATTTCCTCTGTCCTATGTCACATCACTGATCCCAACGTCAGGGGGCAGTATGTGATTTGTGTGAAAATCATAACCATGCAGTACACAGGTCTCGGCAGGTTACAAGCTTTCCAAGTTCATGTTTAAGAGTTCAAACAGGTTTGAAAATACATTGATGCTCAACAGCAGTGGAAAGCTATTCAAATAATAATAATAATAATAATAAAATAGGAAATAAAAAGTAGGAAGAGGAGTTAGAAAATATGGCCTATGTTAAAACAACAACAAAAGCCTCTCAAAAGAAACAAGGGGAAAATATTTCCAAAGATGAGGGGACATGAATTAAGATTTCATTTTGTAGCCATAATTTCCTTGGCTGCAAAGTTCATAGTCACAGATTAAAATATAATGCCAACATGGTGACAAATTGCCCCTGGACAAATGTGAGTTACAGGGAACCAAGCATGAATCAAGCAGAAAATATGGCATGTTTAAATTAGCCTTCAGAAAAAGTAACTGGAGACATTTCTTTAATTTCCTTACTTCCTCCTTTTAAACAACTAATTCTTTGCAGACCCATTTACCTGTCACTTCGATTCAACATCATCATGCTGAGTTGATTATCTCATCATAATATACATATATTAAACATTTTCTAATGTTGCTCATATTACAATCCAAATTCTCTCAAAAATCAAGAAGTCCCTTGAAATACAAAAATGCAAAGAAAATACCTTTTGTTTTGTTAACTGTCCAATTACTTGGCTGGGTTTCGATTGCGAGTGTCAGGTTCGAGGCCATCTCTTCACTTAATGCTGCCATTGCTGTATGAAGGGGGAAAAAGTATCGTTAGGAGGTGAGCCCCCTTCTGTATGTAAGCAACAGACTGAAAGTTATTCTATTTATTTCCTTTATGTTTTCTTTTAAATCCATTTACATTTGAGATCCATAACCTAAGTAGGGCAACTTCTTGACAGTTTCTCATCCATATTCCGTCCATTGACTATATTATAATTATATGAAATAGGGACAAATTAATATTTAAGAAAAAGTGAATATATTTATATACTGATTTAATCAGGAGGATGCTGTCATATAGTAGTTAAAATGTATTAACCTCCTTTCAGTTTTATAAAGCAAATATGTATTAGGAGAAGAACATACAGTACATAAGAAATTAAATTAATTCAGATTCCTTGCTCTGATCTTCGTCATAAAGAACAACTATGAAAAGCCAACTTCTCACTAATTCAGAGCAAGCAAATCCATTTCACATCTTACACTGACATAAAGTAAACAAAAAAAGAAGAAATCACCTACCATTGAATAAGAGATAGACTGACACTGAAACCCTGAAAGCCATCTCCTGTCCTCGCTGACAGTATCTGCTCTTCTCCGCCTGACTGGTGGAAGGCTTTTATGGAGCACTCTGAGTCTTTCTTGCCTTTATATTTGATGAAGCGTCATCTGGCAGTTACCAATCAAAAAAATATGTACTTCTGGCAGCGACTTCAAGCCTCAAGGCGCTCACACACTGGGTGAGGATATCTGTGTTATCTCCCAACATGATCGAGTTTTCCTTTGAAACACTTATTTCCTGTTACCTGTGGGCATAATTGGGAAAGTAAAAGTGCTTAAAACAAAACAAACCAAAAAAAAAAAAAAAGAATCTGAGTCAGGGAAGGCCCCAGTGGTGTAAAGAGGATTGTACCTGCTCCAACGCTGCTAGCAACCTCTACCAGATTCCAATAAAGGGAGTTTTGATATTTGAAAACTAGGAAACAGCATAACCTGTTAATAAAAAAAATATTCCTGCCAGTTGCTCTACCTTTCAGTACAGACTGGGTTTCATTGCAAGAAATTTTGTCACTTAGTGGCAGGGGAGAACAATTTCATTTGTGTAAAATTAGAGGTTTCATATTCCATTTTAATTTTTGATATTTTATTTTTACAAGTTCTGCACAAATGATTACATTTAATTGTATAATATTTACCATTATGTCATTCTGCCATTTAATATTTTTCTGGATAAATGAAATGGGCTACTAAGTTCTGGGAACTACATTGCTTAAATTTGTGCCCCAAATGAGTAGACTAGAGAGAGAACCAGGAAAACACAATAATAGTAATAATAATAATAATAATAATAATAACATAATACATTTTCCATTTAAATAAAATTAAAATATTTAGGTTGGTACATCTAATGAACAGAAATTTTAAAACTTAACACAACATTCAAAATTTTCTCACTGATAATCCAGTGCCATTTAAAAGGCCAAAACATGTAATTAATATTAATACATATTTTGACTACAGAGAATTTCTCATACATTTTTACTTGCCCCGAATTTTTGTGAACAATTTATAGATATGTTTTGCAGAGATGTTGTGACTTTCTCTCAGGAATTTCAGTTGCTCATATTTTTTATACCTTAAAAAGCTGTTTAAGTCAAGATAGGTTATCATTTGTATCATGTCCACCCAGCACATTCAATTTACCAGAAAGGATCCCTATTACAATTCAAACATGAATTTGGCTTTAAAAAGCACACAAGAATGAGCTTGTTGAACTCATTATAACTTGGGCAATCACTTACCACAGGTGTCATCATTTAAAGTTAAAAGAATATATAGTCCTTGGCTCACTTTAAATGTGCCTACATTTTGTTTCCTAGTTCTGTGGAGTTTTGTTAAACTATTTATTAAGATAATTTCTGGATAATATTTCTCGTAGGCCATTATTATTTGAATTATAAGTCAAACAATCATCTTGTGAACCACTAGTGAGAATTTAAGAAGGAATCATTTACAAAAGTTTCAGTAAACTGTCAGGACCCACTGCAGTTTTTAGAGGAAGAAGCTAAGACAAATGTCAGATACCTTTATTTTGAAGACTGGGGCATAGAAGTACAACCAACCATCTTTATAGTAACTATTAACTGGTGCTTCCAAGGTGCTTTGCATTTTACAAAAGCTTTTTACGCACATTTCAATTCTTTGTTCAGTAACCCTGGCCCTAACAATTCCAGCATCCATCATATAGATACTCTGTCTTAAGTGAGTAAAGAAATTAACAACAGGTCTTGTTTTTACTCTCATATTACAATAAGAAATGAAGGCTCAAAAAAATTAAGGGACTTGTCAAAGGCCATGCCCCCGAGTTAAGAATTGGATCTGTGCTCTGGTTCTAGACATAGGCACTTCCCATTTTTCCAGCTGTGCCCTCTGGTAGGAATTGGTATACTGCTCTCAGAGAAATTCTCTTAATTATCTTCTAAAATCAAGCTTCAAACAAACTACCTTTATCATTGGAGAATAAATATTAACTGTGGCTTTCACAAACATTTGGGCTTAGGGAAATAGATCAGTGTCTCTCCAGATGCTTCCCTCTCATCAGCTTAAGGTTTATATCAGAAAATAGCTCTGAGCCATCCCACATGCTTCTTTTCCTCTGGATCCTGATTGATCCCACTTACATTCTCTGGAGGAGAGACTCCAATCTTCACTTCTTCAATCCTCTCTTCAGCAAATCCTTTCTCCAATCCTGAAAAATGGGTGAGACAGGTATGGTAAGGTGGCTTCATTGTTATATATTCATTATTGATATACATTAAAGCAGGTTGGAGGGAGGAAGGAGAAGGCTGAGAGCTGCAACACCCCACTATCATTTTCCCCTCCTACCTACCACTTTTTGCCTTTTTTAATTTATTCATCTTGCTCCTCTATTCATAAGCATCTTTGCAAGTGTCTTCACTCCCCTTCCCTCCCCTCCCCTTTCCCTCCCTTTCTTTTAATTTCATTCCCTTCCTTTCCATTCTCCTTCCTTTCCCCTTCCTTTTTCTTTTCTTATTTCCTTTCCTTTTTCTTCTTGCTCCTTTACTCACTCAACCAAAATTTGATGCTAGATATTGGCAGGAAATGGTATTCATATGGATTCAGTTGTCATTCACTCATTTATTCATTCATAAAAAAAATCGAATGCCTGCCACATTCATGGCACTAGGCTGGGTGTTATGATGGATATAGGACAAATAGACAAATTCTGTGTGGATTCTGACCTCAAGGAACTAAAGGGAGACAAGGAAAATATGCACATGGGTGTCGTAAGGGTAGGAACTGATAACTGCCATGAATGTCTACATAAACTTTAAGAGCTCAGAGGTGGGACTTAAACTCCTCCAGGAGTTTCCAGGGATACATTTCAATTAAAGTAAACCATAAGTAATAAGTAGGATTTGGACATATACTGATACAAGAAAGGATTCTTGGTGTGGGGAGAAGCAGGCAGAATGGTGTAGTGAAAAGAGAGCGGGTTCCGGATCATATCATCCCAACAGACTTGTTTCAAATTCTAATGCTGCCTTCATCATCCTCTTGGCTTTGGCTGAGACTTTAATAACCCAAAAAGTAAACTTTCTCATCTATCAAATGGTGACTGTCAGTAACAAAAAGAAAATAAAGGATTTAGCTTATGATACCTTCTCTATTAAGGATAACTGTTACTACTGAACAAATACAGAAAGACAGGGTGTGCATAGTGGTCGATTCTTGCCTCCATATTTTTGTATTATTGTTCAATCCAAATTAATTCTGTGGGGTCATTTTTACAGATACGTTTAGGAGAAGGCAATTTACTTTTTCAAAGCTTCTGTACAAAGTCATCATATGTCTGTATGGACCCCAAATATTTAAAAGTAAAGTCACGGTATCAACAAACCAACTTTATTCCTTTTGTGTGTTGACAAAGGCTGCCTCCTTAGCCACATTTTAACAGGCTCCTGTGGGTCCTCTTCTTGACTAGGTCTTGACTTGGCATACTTGGCCCAGTTTTCAAAAAGAATCTTGCTAAGTCAGTATATGGACCAAGTTTCTCATCTCCCAATTCTTAATAAGTTATTGGCCTGTCTTTTAGCAAGAATGGTGGTAAGCTAGTTTAGCAAGAGTCTCCCAACCTTGGCACTAATCAAATTCCTCTTAATAATTTTCCATCCACTGATCCACTCATTCTGCTCATTGGCTATAAATCCCTAGCTGTCTTTGCTGTATTGTGAGTTGAGTTCAATCTCTATTGCTATAGTATTGATCCTATTACTACAGTCTTAAATATTTCTTACCATTTTTAACAAAGATCATTTTTCTTCTACAGTATTTTAATTAGTTTCTGGAAAGGCTCACTCTTGAATTTTAGCCTAGCCATAGGTGCAAAATCCTTTAAAAAAAAATAACCCCTCCTGCATTTGGAGCTCAAAATGGCAGATTTCACCTTTTCAGTGCACATGTATTTTTGAGAATTTGCAGCCCTTAAAAATTAAAAAAGGTCCATTTCTGAAATGTTTGTGTGAGAGCTTCAGATTTAAACTTCTGTCAGAGTTATCAGACAAAGATGATCTAGGCTGATTGTAGAATGAGCCATAGAACCTTTACTTTCCTGCTTGAAAAACTTGTGCATTTCTCAGCATGCTGCAAAGACATAGATAACAAATATATGAACAAAGAAACTTACAGATATCATAAGGAAAAAAAAACAGGTATTCTTATTCAAATTGCTTTTATTATACAGTTAAAATACCATTAATCATAAACATCTAGTTTATTCTCACATAAATAATAAGAATACATATCATTAAAAGCATGCATTGGGTAAGAATCATTATTGGTACATAAATATACTGGGATCTGAGTATGAAAACAATACAATTATGTGGCTAGAGCAGTCTCAAGATACCTTCAACTGAGAGTCACATGTATTTCCTAATTTAAATTGTGTTAGAAGAACAGCGTCTACTTTGAGAAACAAATGCTGTAAGAGAAGAGGGAAAGAAAACAGATTTTTAGTCATATTCTAATGTTTAACTTTGGCACATTGTGTGTTTTCCCAATTGATTTTCTGCATTTGTGAAAAAATCATAATTTGTTCTTTAATGAAGGCTTCACTCATAATATGTCATTTTTTCTTGATCTTTGTGGGAAAAGACCACATTAGTTTTGTTTTGTGCATTTGTTTGCTTTTGGATTTTCTATTGTTTCTCAAAGAAGGCATTGTCTACATATTTTTCTAGAACAACAAAGAAGTTACATTAAACCTAGTACTTGTTATTACATTTTTACTATAACAAGTAGTCATTTATAATTTCATATAATCAATACCTTCCCAAGCAGCACTGAATTTTTTGTTTTCCTTGTATATTTCTCTTTCCTTGATTGAACATAATTTATTATTAGGATGCCTCATAGGATGCATTTAGGAGATATATAAGATCAATATTTTATTTTTATGTTTATCTTTCTTTTAGCAAGTTAGTTCTTTTCTAGCATATGATACAAGACTAAAATATTTAAAAATCAACCATGCTTATGGCAAAACCTGACTTACATTTTACATGGGTGTCCATTTGGCTGACAAAACATTTGTTGAAAATATATGGCATGTGATATTTAATTGTGACAAAATATATTATTTATTATGAGCCCTTTATTGTTTTAATATTATGAACAAATGCTATTCATAAAATAAATTTTACCAATGTTTTCATTGGAATTGTTTTGTTTGTTTTTCCCCCTAAAACTCAAAACCGGTTAGCAGAAAATGCATAAAGTTGTGTGAATCTTCTGATCCACAATGATTGCATCCATGAAAAAAATAAATATAATGTAGAAATAAATAGCTTTGTAGTAAAATATAAAGGATTTTCCTCATCAAGTAAATAAATAGCATGATTTCAGCTTGCTTCGTTCTTTCATGCGACCTAGTAAATGACTTTTTTAGCTGCCAGGAGTGTGTTCTTCAGAAGCATGGCCACCGTCATGGGGCCCACGCCTCCTGGAACTGGAGTGATGAAGCCAGCCTTCTTCTTTACAGCTAGTGGAGGAAATAGAAAGTACTCTTTACTTTTACATTTTTTCTGGGGAGTTTATATTTTTAAACATGCTGATCTGTTAAAAGATAAACCGAGGCACTAAAAAAAGTTTTAAGTTTATTTGAGCATTTATCAATTGTAATTGGGCAGCGCCAAACCGGAAGTGGTTAGGAGAGCTCCGCTGACAGAACTCAGGAGAGGCATTTTGTCTAAAAAATTGTGTTTAATTTTTCAATTACAGTAGACATGCAATATTATATTATTAGTTTCGGGTATACAAAACAGTAATTAGACATTCATATAACTTATGAAGTGATCTGGCAGAGACCTTTATAGAGAAAAAGGGAAGCAAAGTCAGCAGGTAATTGAAGGACAGAGCTTTGAGTCCAGCGGGATGTTTGTGACTAGCGGTCTGTAGGTTGTACTTCATAATGCTAGCTCTTTGAAAGGCTTAGATTTGTGTTTGCTTCCACAGGCTGCCATAGCATTAGAGCTACCTCAGTCTACTGGCCTCCTTATTTAATTAACTTAACAGAATACAGTGGATTTTTCTGCTTTACACATGTAACTAAAACAAAACAACTTCAAATTATCTTTATAATAAAGTAGGCTATAACACACACACACACACACACACACACACACACACACACACTTGGACAAACATTCCTGTGTATAATATCTAGTGTGGAATGAATACTTCTTTAATGCATAACCTGATATTATTAAACACGTGCTATTTAGATGTATAGCCTTTTACAAGTTGGCTCATATATGCTTCTACATGAATTAAAGTCAGCAATATTTTCTAGATCTATTAAGTATTATTTTTGTAAAATTTATATTGCATTCTGGAAATATGGCTTATAAAATTTAAATTTACCTTTTTTGAAGTATAGTGTCAGATGGCAATAATTCTTTAAAATCATATGAAAAGCAAAGGAATAATATTACTTGAAGAAAAGTCCAAATAAGTTTAAAGACATCACACACACACACACACAAAAATCCAACTAGTGTGTATTATAAATCTTACGATATGTAATGAAGTAAAGATAAGAATATGTGATTTAGAAGTTAATATTTTAATTTTTCAAAACAACTCTCTTCCCGAAGCTTTCCCTTGCCATACTTCCATCCAACCATATGCTGTAAAAGCCCTAGACTAGGTCCAGAGCCATTCTGTAAATAACCTCACTATTCCTTCTATGTGGAATAGTCTTCTACCATATCCAACTAAGAAACTCTTTATTAGTCTTTAAAAGCCAATAAAATGTCACCTGGCTATAATTTTTCTCAAAAACTCACCCCTCCAACATGGACCTCCACTCTCTATGTTTCCAGGAACTTTATAGCTACCCCCATCATGGAATTTACATAGTGCTGTCGTTCCCTTCACTAGATACCAGCACTTAGAAGGCAGAATCAAGTCTTTGTGGTGGTGAAGGTTGTCATTTTCAATCTTTGAATTTCATGCACATGTTAGGTATTCATTACATTTTGATAAAGTGAACTAAATAGCCCTTGAAATTTAAAATCTAAAATCAGTTTACAGGAATATGTCAATGCTGTTGGTTGGAATCAAGCAATATCAGAACAATTTAGTTCAAGCTAATTTCCTGGAAAACTCAAACTACTTATTTTTCCTGAGGCTGACAAACTGCATTTTTCATTTTCTAATAAACTGACTTGATGACATGAGTAATCCTACCCTAGACCTTTTCTATATGATTGAAGAAGCAATGCCTTCAAATATTTTAGCAGTTCTTTAGCAGAAATGTACTATATAGATTACTACTACTACTACTGAAAGTGTATAAAATAATTGATTTGTAAAATACTAACTTTGAAATATTAATAGATGAAAATAAAATACTGAATAATATGATAAATTAATAATAAAATACAAATTAAATCAATAGAAAACAAAATGATTTGTTTCACAATCAAAAGATGGATAAAAGCCAGGTTGGCATGGTTGAGCATCAATCTATGAACTACTAAGAGGTCACAGTTTGATTTCTAGTCAGGGCATATGCATGAGTTATGGACTCAATCTCCAGCATGGGACTTGCAGGAGGCAGCCGATCAATGATTCTCTCTCATTATCGATGTTTCTATCTCTCTCCCTTCTCCCTTCCTCTCTGAAATCAATAATAAGAAAATATAGATACAATTGATTATCTCAGGGAATCTATTGTGGGTATGTAATCATTTTTACATAATTCAATTTTCAACTTTGAAAAGTAAAGTGGCTTGAAATTATGAAAATATTGAAAAAATAAATAACCATAGCTACTATCAATTGAGCACCCACTTGCCAATAACTTCCTATATATTATTTTAATAACATTTAATTATTATTTGATTTTAATAGATGAAGAAAATGTGGTTCACTGAAGTCACTGGCTTACCACTCTCCTGTAGAGACATTGTTCAAAGCCAGGTTTGAAAAATTCTATGATTGCATAATTCCACCCTTTCCCAGTATAACTATATTACCATGACCTGAACAAATAGAAAAGTCCCAAGAAAGACCCATGTGCCAAAAATAAACTGCTTTCTCAAAGGGTTAGGAGGACATTCTGAAAATAGAAACCAAGAGGGAAAAGTTCTAATCTAGTAATATTCCTACATTTTACTATAGGTGCTCATAGTTTATCATCTTTGGCTTATATCTAACTCTTCAGTTACACATCTAGCTTAGCGGTCTACGTCACTTTCTTCCTGGATGTCAGGTCAGATAAACCACTTGTTTGCTTAGGTGTCATGACCCTTCTTTACCAAATTACATTTTTCACAACATGGTTATTATGGCATTCCTGTGATCAAAAAGTGATCTTTGTAGGGAAGAAAGAGGGAATGGAAATGAGCTGTTTCTTGAAATAATACCTGCCCAAAATGTGTAGCTTGGTTTTTGCAAATTCCCACAATTTACTGATAGAAACTAACACACAATTATCCTGTCCTACCTATCACCTCACAGAATTAGACTATGTGATGGGTAATGAGTTTTCACCTAAACCAGAGTAGGGCTACCCTGGACATCCATAAGTATTTATCAACACCAGAGCCCTGTAGATTATTAACTAGGCAGAAGTTTATGATATCACTGTGACTACCCCCTGGTTATTCAAATATTTGTTTCAGATATATTTTATCTTTAAAATAAAGTGGATATGAAAATGAAGTTTGTACACAGTCTAAAAGGCAGATAGTAATAATTTGTTAAATACATATCCTATATAATAAAAGGCTAATATGCAAATTATCCCCTTGACCAGGATTTCAACTGGGAGTTCAAGTGAGTTTGATCAGGGGGTGGGGCTGACCAGCCAACTGCCCAGCCCATGGCTCCTCCCCCTGGCTGGCCCAGTCGGTCAGACCTGGGTGGACAGACCCCACCCATGTATGAATTTGTGCACTACACCTCTAGTATAATATATACAAGGTCTTTATTCCTTTGGATTTGATTTTCATGGGAATCTATGTCTGAGAAGGAAATACAGAGATGAACAAACGAGGTTTACAGTTGTTCATATGGAACATAATACAATAATTAATAAATAGTAATGCAAGAATAAACTCAGTCTTTTGCATGCTCACAGCTGTAAACTTAGTTTTGCCCACTTCTGCATAAATTGATGTGCTGCTGGCTAGTCTTACTGCATTCTTTGTCTATTTACATAAGTACTAGGATATGGAGTAAGTGATTTCTCAGGAAAGGTAAGGAATTATCATGGGCAAATGCCTGTGGGTACAGATGCCAATGCTTAAAAAAATTCTCTAGTCTAATGATTTTGCATAACTATTTCAAGAGTTGTCTTAATTGGTGAGTTAATAAAGTATCAGAGGTGGTTTATGACTAAAATTAATCATGTGAGAAAGAGTTAAGTTCAATACATATTTGATACTCTGAAAAGTATCTTCCCCAATTATGTGTGCAAGAGAGTAAGTTAACAAGCTAGAATAACCTTTTATTGGCCGGTCTTTCCCTGAGGGCAGACAAGGGTTTATACCTGATTATAGAAGTTGATGCTTTTAAAGATTAATCCTATAATGTGTGGGCAAAAGTGTTCTATATGCTCCATTGAAAAGAAATACAGAAGCATTTTAAGGTAGTAATTTCATTCAGAGACTTCCTGTTTGTGTGTGTCAAGGTGTGAGGGAGAATTTGTGTATTTTAAGGAAAATGCCCAAAGTTCTGTTTATATGAGAATCAGGTGTTAGACCTTGATTGCTATCAGCACTTTTATAAGAGACACATGAACAGATATTAAAAATACCAGGGTTAAGTTCAATTTCATAAAGTCAACATAATTTTAAAGTCGGTGAAACTCTTAGGCAAATAGAACAATCAGCAAATCCTATTATCTGCATGGAACTTGCTCTAAGGAATGAGATTTAGATGGAAATGATGTGGCCATGATTAAAGCAGGTTCCTGAAAAAAGTTATTTTGAGGAAAGGCAATAATTATCCTGACAATTTGAATGACCTCTCTGTGAACTTTAGAACCTGCAGAGTAAGTTCTATAGATCTCACATGATCAAACTCAATTCTGAAGGCTTGGAATAGGAAGAATAGTAAAGTCACAATGCCAATGGGATGTTCATATGGAGATTGGAGATACATGTAGTCATTTTTTTATTGTCTATTATAACAGTGTCTTGGTTTCCAATCTCTACCACATTAGCCATATAACCTGCAGCAGATTTAGTCTTTAAAACACAGATTAGATCATTTCAGTGTATATACATTGGATGAATCTTCACTGTCTCTTAGAATAAAATACAATTTTTTTTTCATGATAATTAAGATTCTTAATAGCCTGGCCCTGCATCCTGTTTTGCATTATTTCCTAACCCTTGCATATTTTCCTAACTCAATTACTCTCTGTTCCCACACATGCTACAAACCAGCCCAGATAGATTCATAGCAAAGCTTCCTTGAGAACAGCCATAGTCACTGTACCTTAGAACTTATAGTCTAGTTGGGAGATGC